TTTGATTCATGTATTTCAAAAATTGTGATCTTTTCTTCTTCACTTCATATTATCACAAATAAGAAGTACAGTAGGTTTAACAAAATGTTAGTAACACAGAGATATATACCGTTTATCTGCTTAATAAAACAGATTTATGTAGCAATTTCAAGTAATAATAATAGTGAACCTTTTAACCTTTAACTAGCATAGATAGTTGAAAAAAACTTTATACAGGAATTGTCCAGTTAATTCAAATAGATAAAGTTTAATGTAAATCAAATTGTTTGTCTCTACGGTAGTATTGCTTGTAGTGAAAGTTACGGTTATTGAAAAAAGAATTCTTTTAAAAAAATTTTATTTAAATATTTAATTGCATTGTTGCATGAAAAAAAAATATAAATAATTGAAAAATGTAGTAAGGTGTTTTTTCGTAAGGACTGAATAAATCTACTTTAATAAGACTTTTTTATCATTGCAGTATTTTACATTCAAAACGATTTTTCATTGCTACACATCTCTAAACAAGATGTCAGCGTAGTTTAACATTTCTCTACTCTGGGTTCCCAGGCATAGGGATATTTTTAGTAACTGCAAGACAGACGATCTGGCCATACGAAATGGTTCAGGTAATCATTCTGATCACCTAAAAAATTTAGATATATTTAAGGTTACAATCATGCTAGAAGACTGAACCATGCTATGAGACTGAATCTCCCGTTTAATCATTTTTGTTACAGTTGTACAGAGGTTGATGAAAATACCCCGCATCTGCTTTGTTACTACCTAGCGCATAGACGACGTCGTTCTGCTACTTTAGGCACTTCCTTTTTGAATAACTTCAACAAAGGTGCTTTAACAACAAATGCTTTAAAAAGCAATTTTTTATAGGTACGGCAGCAGAGGTCTAACTGGATCCTTAGGACAGCCGGTTTAACCTAACCTAAGTTAGTAAAATCAAAAGTCGAGTTTTGTCTAGAAAGATATAGAATTTCTAGTCACATCTACTTTCGATTTGAAACAGTAAGATAATACTAAACTGAAAGCAAAATAAAGATAAAATATTGAGAAATCATTAATGAGAGATCCTGTCTCCATTTGAGGGGTTAAGTGCCTCAGCGCAAAAGATACACTTGAAGTGATCCGTTACACTGGGAGCCAGAAATTTTATTACTTTTCTTTAATCTATTTTAATTCATACATATTATATAATGTTATATATTATATTATAATTTATTATAATTTTGCCAGTTAAAAACACAAACATATAAAACAATTAAGGTTGATACCAATATTTACAAAAATTTTAATATTTTTTATAATAATGCAATTTTTTAATCCCTAATTCAACAAATGTTGAGATATTTAGTTTTGATTATAATTCTAAATTATTTTGAAAATTTCGTTTTTTATTTATAATTTTTTCTAATTAAACTTTTAAACATTTAAGGATTTGATCCCATCAATATTCACAAAGGTAATTAAATATTTGCTCTGTATTCACTTTATATTTTAACATTTTTCAGCAGTTTAAGACAAAAATTAAGTGTGCTGTGCATAAAACATGTGGATAATAATAATCGTTTAGGTCAACCAAAACAAAGCTTGACCTATGAGTTTGTTTACTTTGTTTTTGTCGCTTTATTTTGCGGTGTTTCGTACGCACACATAAAATCCTTTTTTGTTCCTTACTACAGTGAACACTTTACTCCCATAATTTTTTCCCACTTCTTTCGCACACAAATTCGTATTTTTGCTTGCCGTTTGTTGTTGTTTTGGTCTTATTTCTATTTTTTATTAACCCAATAACAAAAACAAAAACAAAAAGAAACTGTTTCAATTTGATGCATGCTGCCGCCGCTTTCAGGCAAATTTTTTTATGTGACTGTTTACTTTTTTTACAATGCTTTTTCTATGGGAATCGATTATAATGCGAAAAAAAAAAATATAAATAACAAAAAGTAAAGATACACACGCCATTAAGAGTTTCTAAAAATTACTTAATTAATGTATTTTAAATTGGAATAGAAAAGAAATCAAAAGTAAAATTAGATGAATAAACTTACCAATGTTAAAAAAAAGCCGCAAATTTGGAGGTGGCGGCGGAAAAGAAAGTTGAAACAGATCAAATCTGCGTTATTAATTAAAATTTCAGTTGAAGGCTTATTTAAAGCTGCCGTTGTAAAAATTTCAAGCTATTTAATATTATTTAATTTATTCGCTTAATATATATATTTTTTGAATTTTTTGTTAAGATGTATATTAAAACTCTGTTTGTTGTCATAATAAACTAACGTTATTGTAACATTATTTTAAATTTTACTGTAAAATTCGCTTGAAGTATTATTTCCGTAATTGTATTTTCTTTTGTTACATATATATTTTTTTTGGTAACAATAACGGAATTGCAAAGATCATATAAGAAAATATGTGGAAATTCAAGAAAAAAGCAACGGAAAAACGACACGGTTTACGATTTTCCTATTGACTTTTCCAGCTGCAACTGCACTTTTTCTTTATTATTCAAATTAACACATTTACTTATTATTGATAACAATTTTTAACAAATCTATTCCTTTAAATTGTATATTGTTAATATATATTTTTAATTTGTGAAAAGGATAACATAAAATATTATGAAATTTTTAACCCGACACAAAAACAAACTCAACGCACTTTGCCAGACAAAAAACAACTGCTGCTGCAGAAAACATTTCAAATGTCGCAGAAGAGCATTCATTTCAGTGCTGCCGTATAAATGTTTTTTTTTATTTTTTTGAATTTGAAATGAAGTAGTAGAAAATGATAAAAGGTACTATTAAATTACGCGCTACAATTTTTGAACTGATATGTATAATTCTTTGTTGAAAATAATTGTATTTATTTATTTATAGATTTATTATTTATTGTAGATTTATTTAAAATTTATAACTAAGTTTTATTTTATATAATATATAGTATTTAAAATATTAAAAAGTTTAGTTAAAATATTTTTAAACTAGAATTAAATATTATATGAATTTTTTTTTTTAACTTGTTATACAAAGTGTAGAATATAATAAAGTATTTAAATATTTTATATTGTCAGATAGTAAGATTGTTTTATCATCAGTACAGGATAAATTTTTGATATATAAATATTTTATATTTGTACAGTAATATATATGTTATTGGTAACAAAGAATAATGTGAGGATTCTTTTAAAATTTAAGAAAATGTTTCGGATGTTATTGGTTTTTGTGCACAATGTTACGCTGTGCGTCATCTATATTTCTAAAATGTCTGCTCTGCGAAACAGTTTTTTTTTGATTTGCTCAAACAATTATGGAATGAGATCAAATTTTTTGTAGTCCTTGCATTCCGAAATAAGTAATCGAACGTCACAACAACTTATGTAGAATCTTACAAATATTTGCATTATTTATTATGATTTATTTATTATTTATAGTAGATACTTAGGACAATGTATATTGTTCCTCCAATCGACACCAAGCTGTATGAAATCGTGGCCGATGGAATAGCTAAGTAGCGAGTAGACTAGAGGATATTATGGTGAAGCAAGTGCTGGTGATGTAACATATTCATGTAAGCTATAGAACATCTGGAAAATTTTCATTACAAACAGTATGCAATGCAGAACAATGAACAACACAGAATTGGTGTGACTAGGACATAATGAACAAGGAGACCAGAACCGAAATAAGATTAGAGAAGCAAAAAAAGAAAATGCATTTATCATAAGATGTAATCTTATCTATTTATTTATTTATCCATAATATATAGTATAATATATACATAAAATTACAAATTTAATTCTGCTATTAAAACTATCTAGCTTTATGTGAAGCCAAAAACGTTTTATTCTGAAATAGTAATATTAAAAACAGAAATAAAGTTTTTGCAGCAACAATGACTTACTTCAGGTGTAGTATAAATTAGTTACACAAAGATATATTTTGAGTTTATGCGTGTTAAATGTATTTGCCATATATTTATCGTATTACCATATCTTTAAATCAAGAAATATTAAAATTGATGTTCATACTAAATATACTGATAAACAAATTTTAGTTTTATTTATTAAAAATGTGTAGAGAATTCTAAAATTTTTTTTTTGAATTTTATATTACTGTTGCTGTTATGTTTTATTAAACAATTCAAATAAACGTTTGAAATCAGTGATTTAATAATTTAATAAAAACTTGATGCAAATATTTTATAAAATTTTGTGCAAGAAACTATAGTTCTAAATAAAATTGAAAGACTTAAACCAATTAGCTAAACCTTGTTATTTTTTAGTCTAAATAAAATGTTTATATTGTACTTAACTGTAAATAAATTAAACCAGTTTTCAAAATGAAATCGGTACGCATAGTTAGCTTATGTGGAATTATTTATTTACCAAATATCGGGTATATATTTCTGGAGTTGCCACAATTATAATATATATAAATAAGTAAAATATAAGGTATTTTGTTTAATTAATTTCATTTATTGTGAAGTGAATTCAGAATAACTATGACTTTAATTTAACTTAATGCAATCAAAATAATATTAACTTATTTAAATTTTTACACTTTTATAGTTCATAGTGTATCATTTTAATGAATAACGAACTCCTTTTAAAATTTTAAAAGAGTCTATAATTTATTTCAAAATATAGAATAAATGCTTGATTCAGATACAATATATATACAAAAAATAAAAGCAGTTTAAATCATATTAACTACAAGAAGAGAATATGAAACTAAAAAACTCACAATATATGAATCTATGTATTGCATTAGAAACGAAAAATTTAAATCAAAAAATGTATACGCCACATGCTGCTAAGTAATTTATTCTTATCTAGATTCTTTAATAGTGTGTGTATAACAAAATTATAACAACCCTGTTGAAAAGTATTTGTGGCGTTTGTACTTATTATATGTTGTCTTTCTTCAACTTGCGTATTCGGTTGTTGTACGAGTAGTACAAGCATAGTGTCTAATCAAAAGCAACATCAAAATGAAATTTTTTTTCACTTTAACTTTGTAGCAGCGCGTCGAGAAAACTTCGGAGCAATTTTTTTCATTTTATTAAAAAAAAAATTAATATTGTAAAGTCAAGGAAAGCACAAACAGCAGAATCAAAAAAAGTTGACAAACATAAACAATACAAAATAACAGTGCCGCTATAATTATTAAGTTAATTAAAAGGACAAAAGAATATTCGATTGAATATATTGAATACATAGTGTAAAGTGAAAAAGAAAAAGGTGTACTACTGCTGGTCAGAAATAAGAAATTCTACTTCAGAAATAAATTTAACAAAAACTAAATAAAAAAAAAATAAATAAAAAAAATAGAAAATTAAGGGAAAACAAAAAACTTAAAAGATTAAAAAATTGTGAAGTTAATATATTTTTAGAGTAAACTATTGATAGGATAAAGACCCCCTCGATGTTGAGCTTCTTTGGAGGCATCGTCGCCGCCTCTGCCGCTGCTAAAATTATTGTAACTGCCGCCAAGGAACGACATGGAAAGCATTTGTAGACTCTGCTTTCAACCAGCAGCGGTAAGTATTCCAAGCAAAAAAATAAAAACAATATATATTAATTAAAAAAAAAATATTTAACATAATCAGAAACTTTTATATTTGGGCGCCAGCTCTCTTTACTGTTGAAAAAATGTGTATTTTGTTATTCTTATTGATTTTTCTGGCTTATGATAGGTTTGTAAAGGGGGAGAGTAAGTGGGTGAATTTTATAGTGACAGCAAACAGCAGCAACAGCAGTTGTGGGGTTTTCATTTTAGAGCATCAAATTAAAGGTGCCGGGGAAAAATTCTAAGCACAGTAGTGAATGTGTTATTGGAATTAAAAAAGTGGGAGCCAATTTAGTTTGTGAGGTAGTACAGATTACAAGCGATTCCTGTACGTTTACTTATTGTGTTTTTTTAAATGTGTGTTTGCATTTATTTGTGATATAATAACAAAGACAAAATTTTTTATTATTCACTAGCATCGGACTTTTTTTATAAAAAAAAATAAATTGAATTAATGATGTTTATGAGTTTTTGTAATTTTAAAATACTTTTTAATATTTTTTTCTATATAACAAAATGTATGTACGTTTGTGCTTATAAATGTTTCTTCAGCAATAACTTAGTTAATTTTTTTCTTTTTTTAACTTCAGTAAAAAATTGCTGGCATAAAAAATACAATAAGAAAATCATAAGCAAAGCAAAATGTAAAATGAAAAATAAAAAAATCTCACTTATAAAAACAAAAATGACAAAACTCGCGCCAAACGCTACAAATTAAAAAAAAGAAAAGAAACGCACAGCTACGTTAGTGTTGTTGTTGTGGGTACACAAAACAGCAACACAGGCACCATACAATACACAAGCATACACAAGTGTATTGAAGCAATAACAACGAAAACAAGCAAGCGTCTTTTATATTATTTTATTATATTTCTTTTTTTTTTCCATTTTTTTTTCATTACTTTTATGTTTTTTTTTCGAACCATAGATTTTGTTTTCTTTTAATTTATATAAAAAATTGCAAGCTAGTAGAGTTGCCAATTGTATTATCTGTAGTTGAAATATATAATGTGTTTTTTTTCTAAATCCAGAAATAAAGAATCCCTTAAATCTGAGTACACTTTATAGTTATATCTGGAAAGCCACGCTAAAAAGCAATGTTTTCAGAATATTTAGTATAATGAATTAAAGCAATACTTTGGCGCAGGAGTCCAGCAGTGAATTTACTAGTCATTGTTCCATTTAAAATATAATTGGGAATCTATTGAAATAATGCTTTGGGATATAAGTGATAACGATAAAGAGCGGCGATATATTAATTAATATTGCGCAAGACTTTGACTAGTAATGAAATCATATTGGAAAGGTTGATCATTTACTTGCAAGTCTTAGAATCTTGATAAGAATGATCTGAAACTAAGGAGTCCAAGAGATTACTTGTTATGAGAATTAAAGAAATAAAAGAAAATAAATAAAAAATAGAGTTAAGGACTAGAAACTGAATGGTTGAGAAAAATACCCATATGTCCGTTCAACAGAGATTTTATTGTTCTAAAAGGTGTAAATAAAAATAACAAAGCCTTTACCACATTTGACACATTCCATAAGTGCACTAGGATTGTAGATTTTAAAAAATTGTATTTTACATATAATTGTCTAGTACATGTGTTCTTACTAGCTACAACAAGTTAGGCAACATATTATGTTTCAAACAAGTAGTGAAATCCACTAAATCAACTGTTATTTGTACTTTAGTATATTTGATGATAGATATTGCTGTTGTAGCACATAGAGATCTATTAATCAGATAGCATGAAAGGTATTACAAAGACGTACTGGTCATCCATATAGTTTACGATGTTGACAGGTGATGGTAGAATCAAGGAGGAGATACCTAGCCACTCCACTTTGAAACGGGTACAAATCCGATTGGACTCAAGTTAGTGTGTGTTTTGAAACAGGATCGAGGTGCAGCGATAGCACAAATTGTAAATTGACGTATTCATGCGTCACATGTAACTGTTTAGCACATGGTTATAACTTTTAAAATTGAGCTATGACAGTTCTTGCTGCAGGTGAAACGTGTCGTTCATCTCAGGAGATATTGAACGAGGGCCTATTAAAAATTTTGTAGTAATATAACTATGGTCTCAAAAATGATACTGCATCTATGTGGAAGGTTGTTATTCTATATTTATTTTCGACCTTAATTTATCTGGCTTAATAAAGTGCATATGAATCAATATTTTGATTTCTAATAGAGACTGAAATGGAATACACTGATACAGATTATATATTTAATGCTTTAATGGACATAATATATAGCAACTATTCAGATATAATAACTCATTTGAGTTTTATTTACATTATTCCGTATATTTTTAGAGTAGACTAAGATTAAGATTAATCGAAAAAATAAGTTTCGTATGCTCGCTCTCTACTTTATTAAACCGTTTTCTCTAGTCTACCATTTATATTTTTTGGAAATGGAACCTTTTGAGATAACTTTTATAATTTCTTTCCATTTGATTAAAAAACGGACACTAAAAAGAAGAAGAAGATACTTCCTATAATACGGTCTTTTGTTTTGCTGTGGTGATAATTTTAGATATTCCTACTTCTTCCTATTTGTTAGATTTTGCAAATATTAGTGATATTGTTGAATGTTGACTTTTACACATTCTCTTCATATTCTTAAACTGTTTTTTTACAGCATTGTCTTATATACCTAGGGGTTACACAAACAGAATTTTGATGAGTTTCAAACTATTTTGCTCGAAGAGCTTCTAGGCTTTTCTGTTAGATTTCCCAAGTATTAGTGGTATCCTTTTTTTTATAAAAGCAGCAATATAAAATATGTATTTTTATCGTATGTATAGGTAATAAGTTGGAGTTATTATAAGATCCTATTTAATAAAAGTTATTACTGACATGTTGTTTATAGCACTATTTAAGTTTCGATCGGTCTTTGGGAAAATCTCTAACGAACGATGTATAAAACTATTTCCCGCTCATGAAACCATTTCTTTCATCGACATTTAATATTAAATGTCATGACAATATATGTACCATAAATGTGTACGTATATGCTGAATATGCTTCCTATTTTACTTTGCGAAAGGATTATGTGAAAATGAAAAAAATATATATGCATTAGATGCAGTCCTGGGTTCTACTAAGGATTATGGAAACTAAGAAGATATATATTAGAAGTAGTTTTCTTGTTTAATTTTGTTTACATTGTCTCAGTAATATTTTATTATATATATACCATGTAATAATCACAGACGATTATAAGTACACTTTTTTGGTTAATAAATTTATATTAAATTAATTTTTAACATCTATATTGACGATAGAAACTAAATTCTTAATATAAACTATTCTTTTCAATAGAGAGGTATTTCGAACATTATTATTTTACAACAATTAAATTTTATTATTTTTTTAATTAATTGAATTTTTGGCCGAAACACAGCGGTTTCGAGTATTACCAAATACCCATCAATAGTGGTCTTGGAATTATTTCTTATGTTCAATTATTCGTAAATAATTTTTTGAGACTGTAAGTACCAAGGGTTAAAGTTGTGCCCTGCCAAATTTGAAGCTCAGAGTCATTCTTCAGTAGCCGTAATAAATTTAAATGATTTTTATGTTGTTTGAAGTGTTTGACTAAAAGTGAGAAAATATTCTATGATCAACTTTAAACGCATTTCTTGATTCAAGAAGTTTGGACTAATAATTCTAAACAAAATATTTCATTGCAGTTGTTTCAAGTACCCGGTTATAATATACCTACCTGTGTTAAGTGCTCTGAACATTTAACTGCAAACGGTTTTTATCCCTCGGTTCGTGGAGACGGTACAACTGTTGCAACTACAGCTACAGCTGGTGCAACACAATTGAGTAACGGCAATAACTCTGTAACTCAACAGCAGCAACAAATCCAAACTCAACAAAACCAACAACAGCAGCAACCACAACAGCAACTCCAATCAACAAGTTCTTCCGAAAATTTACAGGACGATTCTAAGGATGTAAGTTGTCAATTTAGCAAAGTTTTTAAATTTTTAACATAATTTTTAGTAACTTTTATTAACAATTTTGTCTTAGAAAATTTTGCACTCGGTTATTTAAATTTATGAAATTGAATTAAATTATGTATATTATTTAAATTTTCAAAAAAAGTTAAATTTTGTTTTTTGAAATTTGTTTAAAAATGGCTTAATTAAGCAATTCTTTATTCTTTTTCTCTCTTTTTTCTTCTCTAATTTTTATTACCAAAAATTTTTTGTGCCAACCAAACAAATTTTTTTCTTTTGCATTTTATTCCCGCAGCAGCAAAACCGCCGCCAAAATCAACAAAACGGTTCGAAAAAAAACGTTACCATGTCCTCCTTTGAATTGGAGAAGACCATACAACATTTAGACGTATTTATCACAGTTCCAAAATCACTTTCTATATAAAAAATATATGTTAATATATAGATTTTATAATATTGTTTTTTCAAAATTTATTGTGAATCACATTTCAAATGTTGGCTTTTCGAAATTGGTCTTAGCACATCTAACAAAACTAAGTTCCATAAGTTCTTTAAATTTATTCAAAAAAAAAAAAAAAAAATTTAAAACATAAAAAAACATTTGCAAAATAATTTCAACATTTGAAATGTTTTGTTTAAAAATTATTCGTTGTATATCATTTGTTGTTTACTCAAAATTTGCTTATTTAATTTAAAATTTTTTTTATTTTCTGAAGAAAATGTTAATTTATTTTCGATTATTCCACAGGTTGATTTAATTTTCAACGAAGAGGGCTCCTGTCCTCTCTGCAACAAAACATTTTCACGTAAATCCTCGCTTTTGACACATATTCGGAATCATGCAGCCGAACGGAAATATGTTTGTACATACTGTCATAAAGGTAAACCCGTGAACTATAATAATGCAGAATTAATGCATATAATAACAAAAGTTCTAATATATATTTTCATTTATTATAGGATTTACTCAAGCTGCCAATTTAAGAAATCATGAGCGCATTCATACAAATGATCGACCTTATACTTGCGTCGATTGTGGCAAAACTTTTACTCAGGTTTGTAATAAATCACTTTTAGTCTTATTTGATTAATAAAATAATTAAATAAACAAATACAAATTAGCTGGCACACTTAAATTGCTCATTAGTAGATTTATCTAGATTTATTTCTAGATTTGAGCACACATTGGGAATAAGGATAAGCTACTGTTTGGCATGTGGCTATCTATGTCCCGATCTCTTCATTTATTAGAATGTATCTGTTAATAGTAATAAAATATTATATGAATTTACATTTTTTCGATAATATTATATAAATTTGCATTATAATGAGTTTTAGAAATAATAAATTTTTTAGAATATGTTGAACTATTTATTTAAGTAAATAAATTACATCTGTTTTCTGATAATTACATTCATATAACTGATTTTTAAATAAGTTTTAAATAATTCATTTGTAGCAAACACTTGCAAAAAAATTAAAAGTAAAAATCATATACCACAATCAGATGCGATTTCAATTTATTTATTATTTAGGAATAGTTGCAAGAAAATATTATATATCTGTTATTTATTACAGTTAGAAAAGATTCTAATGAAATTATTATAAAAATGTATATTATATATATTATACATAAATTATGTATAATATAGTATATTATATATAATATAGTATATTACATATAATATAGTATATATATAATATAGTATGTTATATATAATATAGTATGTTATATATAATATAGTATATTATATATATACAACATAGCTTTATTAAAAATATAATTTTATGATATGTATGCTTGAATACATTCGGCTGTCTCGAATGAAATGCATTTTTAAATTTCAATTTTCGAGCAGCTGAGACTGCTTCAAATATTGGCACTTATTTAAATGTTGGTTTCTAAACCTCTAATGTTTCTAGTTAATCAGAGTAAACCAACAACTTCACACATTAGCAGTTAATATAGATAAACCTAGAAAATACTTCAGAGGGGTAAGAATAAATAACATCTCTCAAAAACTCTTTCCATTAACTTTTTAGCGTCAAATAAAATTGTTCTTAAATCAACAGGTTACAATTATACACCTAGTTTTTAATATTCTAATTTGTAACTCATCATACGGCAAGTTACCGTAATGTAATTTTTTTTAATTATATAAATATAATATTCAAGTTTAATAAGTTTATGATGTCCGCAGAAAATATGAATATGTAATTGATTGTACAAATTAGTTTAAACATAAGCAATAAACATTATATTGGATGCGTTTGTATGATAACAATATGTGAAACAGTTATGCAAAGTGATCGAAATGGAGTATATAATAACTTTACTTTGACTACAGAGTTTGAGTTCTTTCAATATTTTCTTTATATACTTTAGTTTTTATATTTTCGCTTGAAGTTGAAGTTTTCGCTTGTGCAGTAAAAAGTATTCTGAACTAATTTATGTCGCGAAATAATCTGTTTATTCCAACGGAATGACTAATCAGGTTGCATATCTGTGAATGGCACAAATAAATACCTAATTGGTATATAGCTGTATACTACGAGGTGGTAGATTGGTAGGATGGTAGGATACTTCTTAAATACATTTTACTTTTTATACAAAATCCTCCTTCATACTAGCTGTTCTAGCTTCCACAATCGAACAAAATAATCGCATTAACTTTGTTTAAAAAAATACATAATTATTTAAATCTTCGTTGTCTTTAACTGAAAAGTGAATAGATGCAGTTTACTGTTATTGTTTACAAATTATATAAGATTGCTATTATTATATTTATGATAGCTATTATTATTATAATTTAAATTATAATAAACTAAAATATAATAATACAATAATATTAAATTTATTTTTAAACAAAAATATTTAATAGTTTTTAATTTGCTCCAAACTATTTTAAGGAAACTAGAAATTGTGCAATACGCTAACAAAACATATTTGTTTTTTTTTTTAGATAACCAACCTTAATAATCATCGTCGCTTGCATACTGGAGAACGTCCTTTTGTATGCATTGAGCCAGAATGTGGACGTTCGTTTGCACAGGTAAATAATTCTACACATATATGTTTTCAATCATTTAGTTAATAATATGATATTTTTTAGGTTACCAATTTGAATAACCATATGAAAACACATCATAAAGTTCAGCAATATTGTTGTAATCAATGTCCGAAAAAGTTCACGCAGGTTACCTCACTAAACCAACATTTGCAGGCTCATGCCGGAATAACGGGTTATTATTGTCCGCGCTGCCCAGAGAAGACATTCAAACAGCAGTCGCAATTGCATACACATATGAAATCGCACGGATTGGCTTTTCCATTTGAATGTTCAAAATGCGACGAGAAATTCCTGCAGCAGGCACATTTGGATCAACATTTGAAAATGCACGATGAATTTAAATTCAAATGTGATATTTGTCCAAGCTCTTTTAATCAGGAGTCGTTGCTTAAGAAGCATGTGCAACGACATGTAGAGGGAAGGTGCTGGCCATCTAAGTTCGAATTATAGCAGCATACTTAAAAATTAAATTGAATTTTGTTTCTTTTTCAGATACTTAACATGTCCTGTGGCTAATTGTAATGAAGCTTTTGCAGTGCGTCAACATTTATCAAAACATTTATTAACAAGTCATTCGCACAATGAGCTACCACCGCCAAAGCGTTCAAAGAAGTCAATTACATTACAACCACCTCAACAACCGGTAACAATGATTGGACAACCTCTATCAATACAACATTCGACGGGTCAACGTATGTTATTTAGTATATGAATTACTATAATTATCCTAATATTGTTTTTAAGTAAAACGTACACAATATTATATTTTTTAATATAATTTACATATATATATTTTAATTAATTTTTAAGATTTAGTAATTTTATAAATTTATCTTTAATATCTAATAATATCCATGTCTTTTTTATTTTTTAAATGCTGTTGATTTTGTTTAAAATTAATTTTAAATTTAAAATAATTTGTTTTTAAATTTTATATAATTTGCATTTTTATGCAAAATTCAATGCTATTTGTAATTGGATATGGTTACTTTATAGTTAAATAGATTATTTTATAAAAACTAACTTTTCACTCTTTTAGCTTTGCACAACTCTTTTTTGTGTTTGATTTAATTGATTCAAATAAAACTTACATATGGATATATTTAAACTCTTCAGTTTGTTAATTAAATCTGATTCAATTTTGGTTAAGCAAATAAATTAATACCAAAATATTATTCAAAATTAAAAAGTTATTTGTATGTATTATATAATTTATATTTATTAAAGTTATACAAACTAAACCTGATATATTTTAATACGTCATTACAGATAAATATAATGAGGATTTGAGCCTTTTTTTTATATATTATAGAAATTTAATTATTTATTAAGTTAATAAATTAAATCTTATGTTATATATTTCTATTTTTTTTTATTTTTTTTCTTTATAATTTTATTGTTAAATAAATAACAATAACAATTTTTTATTTATACTGATTTTCTATTTATACTAATTTTCACTTAAGTTATTTATGCAATTATGTATTATTTTATTTGTACAATTATATGAAATATAAGAAAAATGTTAATTCGATATTTTTTTAACAGTTTGCTAATTGATTATTGTTTTTTTTGACATTTTTTAGGTTTTTCATTCTTTGCTTTTTCAGTGTTTTATTTTTTTTGTGATTTTTTTTGTGCTTTATTATTTGTTTTTGTTTATGTTTTATTTATGATTCAGTTTCTTCATGTTTATTTCTTCTTATGTTATAAACATTGTTCTTTAATTTTTCTTATTTACTTCTATAATTTTATTATACTATTATAATTTTGTTATACTTTTATATTGTTTTTTGTTTATTATTGTATTTTATTTATTTTTTTCTTATAATAATATTTGTTATTTATGTTCAGTAAAAAATTGGTGTTCATTCTGAATCAGTTAGAAATATTCTTGTTTATTTTTACAAATATTTTTTTATTTAGTTTTATATCCTATTATTATATATTTATTCATTTTCTATTTTTTAAAATTAAAAATTTTTTTTTATTCAAGTTCTTTGATGTGATTAATATTTTAAAAAATAAGCATTTTTTAAAATAATCTCTCTAAAGTTTTATGTTGCTTATTTATATGACTATAAATTCTTTGATTTTTTTGTGTATAGGATAGTCAATAAATTGATATATAAATTAATCTTATTTATATTAAAACCTAATATACATATCTTTATAGTTTTCTTATTTTAATTTGTATTAAGTTTCTTTTTTTTTAAATTTGTTTCTGGTCTTTATTTAACATTTTTATTTTGTATTATTATTTTTATTTTATATTATTATTTAATATTTTTATATTTATATTCATTTTAAAAGTATTTTTTCGGTGTTATGTTTCGTATTTATTTATATTTTTGCTAACAAAAAATATATTAATATGTATTTATTCATTAAAAATATTTAAAGACTTCATTTATTGTGAAAATATAATAATATTGTCGAAATAATAATTTCATTTAAAATTTTTTTTTGGAAATTCCAGGTGGTCGTCCGCCAAAAAATAAGAACAAGACACAAAATGCGACCACATCATCTGCAATAAAAATTGAAATTAACGCACCTTTGCATAATCAACACGTGATCAGTAACGCCAGTGGCCTATCTATACAACAACAAATAAATCAGCATATGCAGCAACAACAACAATTGCAACAACAGCATCAGCAACAACAACATCATTTAGGACTTGGTAATCCAGTTAAAGTACGTTTCATACCAACCAAGTAAGAGTAAACGTTAATAAATTAGTATATATTATAATGAATATCCTCAGAGCAGGGTAAGTACATAAACACACAATTAATATTAAAAACAACAAATAAAATAAAAAGGATAAAGTAAATTATAAAAAAAAAATTTGAAAGTAAGATAAACTGAGAGTGCAACCGCAAAAAATTATGAAAAAAATGAATTATTTTTAAATAATTGATAGTTTAAACATACGTTTTTAATATAGATTATATAGAAGTAAAAAAATCGTATTCTTTGAGCTCACTCTTATATTATGATGTTATGGAGAAACTATATAAATACCTCGCGGTATTCTGAAATATGAAAACTACACACTTAAAATATTTATAAATTTTTTTTAAGAACAGAAATTAAAAATTATTAAAAACTATTCATTTTTAAAAATGTGTTTCAGCTTTTTGGTAGCATATCACAGTAGGTTTTAGTGACCATACTAGTAACCATACTATTAATACTTAAATAGTTTTTAGTCCTGTCAGATATATATTACAGTATATACATGTAACTAAGCAAATTTATTTAAATTAAATAAATTGTTTTAATTATACCATATATTGTTATTTGTGTAAGGAATTACTGACTGCTTAGAAGAAAAACCGTATATATCTAGTAATATCAATAAGTAATTCAGTTTATTATTGTCTTTCTATTATAAAAAAAAACCTTCCGGGTTATTTTTATTTTATCGTCATAATGCCGTCATGTAATGTCATGTCATTTTTATTTTAATTTGATTCCAATCAAAAAAGAAAATTAAATACTAATTTTAAATGTTGGGATTTCATGAAGAAGGACAAATGTTATATTTATATGTAATTCTTCATATATAACAATATGTATGTGCTTTTAATATACTCTAGAAGAGATCATACATAGGAATATAACGGAAGTTGAGGAACTAAGTTCGCAGTTTCTAGTTTCTATAAAAAATAGTAACTTAATTATTATATTGCTTAAAAACAAAACTATGAAATTGATATAAAGTTAAATAATTAACAATTACTAATGTGAAACTACTAATGTTATTAATTCATTAATTGAAGACTATTATATGATATAATTAATGTGCAAAAATCATTTGTAATTACAGAGCATAATTTTTTATAGTAAAATTATTAATTCATATAATTAAGTATAATTATATATATAGTTTCTTAACTAATTTTAAGTTCTGTCATTTACAAAAATTATGCATTGATGTACATGTATAAATTCTTTAATATCTTTTACTGAAGATAAAATGTCAATTCAGCAATACCAAATATCTTTGTATTAAAAATGTGTCTCTAGAAACTTTGTTGAAGTTTTCACATTTTGAGAGGATTATTAGAAGAGTACAGTGACACAACAACAAAAAAAAAAAACAGTAAAACTGGTTTCATTTACCTTTCAGCATAGACAACTTATAATGCAACATGTAGATGTCCAATGTCATATAAAATATATATCCACTAAAATACGGAATATAACCGTTCGATTGCAGTTCAATATACAATAACGTTTCGTTCTTGATACGTATACATAACTGAAAAAAAAACACATATTTAAATAATGCAAAAATGCAAGCGTAAAGTTCGTCTATTGCAAATAATCAATGTGCTAAACTGCACTTCCTAAAAATAATTTTCGCCGAGTCGAGGAATCAAGTTTCCATTATCTATGTTCTCTTGTACTTTACTAAAACCAATACAATTTTTGGTCAGTGTTTTATTTCTTTCTGGTGTTACGAAAGTCATATTACATAGTTTTTTTTCTCAGTTTTTCTTGAACGATGTTGCCTGCTGTTCTGGAGATTTTTATATTATGCACTCCGAGCAATGCTAGAATCCAGGTTACGTGGTGTGTGCCGAATTCATTTTTACTTCATTAAAAACTCTGACTAGACTTCTTAATGAATTTGTAACATAACTGTATAAAAATGAACTAACCTTAATTATTATATTTCATTATTATATAAAGAATATTTAGACATTATCTGACTCGGTAAATCATTAACTCGGTAATCGGGAAAGTGAGATAATGTAGTATTAATTTTTGAAATAATTTTAAATCGAGTGAATTACGTGTCTGCAGTTTGAAAAATTACCAATAAATTTAATAATTAGAAATGCTGTTCTATTTGGAATACACATATATCCTTAATAAACGAAAGAATACATTACTTATGTACAAAAATATATAGAATCAATTCTAAAGTCTATTGAATATTGCTTAATTTCCTTCGATTAATTTTAATATAAAGTGAGCTTGTTAATTGTTTTCGAAACGTTAGTTGTGTATATAATTATTTTATCCAAAAACTATGTTGATAAACTAAAAAATAAATTAAAAGTATAAAATTTTTTTATTATACAGAAAATATATATTAATTCCATGAATTTAAAAAAGGAAACTTAAGATTTTCATAAAATTTTGTTGATCTTCGAAATTTCTTATAAATTCTATATATAAAACGTATGTAAACGATCAAAATATGTTTAGTAATAAGCTAGTTCGTAACATATCTAAGGAAAGAAATTAAAGAAAAATATTTACTTACTGAAACATTAAAAATTATATAAAAAAATTGTAAATACATACATTTTAACTTTATAGTAAAATGCAATTATATTTTGCTTTTAAATTTTCTATTAAATTTTAATATTTAAAAATATTGAATAGATAAAAAAGCATATTCTTGAAATCTTAAAAAATGCTGTTAAAATAATATAAAATATATATTTAATATTTAAAATATATATAAAACAAAAAATTAATAAAAAGAAAAAAAAATGAAAAATGCAATCACTAAAAATTTAAATTTTTTTAAAAATTTATTTTATAAAAGATTATTTTATTACAAATTATTGTGGTTGGCGCTATTTTATAAAAAATGTAAAAATTTTTTCATTACCTCAAATATTATTGATTTATTGAAATTTTGAACCGAATTATTTGAGTCGAATTATTTCAGGTGTTAGAGAGTAAAATGTTTTTAAATTTTAAAGTATAAAAATTTTTATTTATTATTTTATCAAATCTGACAATTTATAATACCCAAAAGTGGTAGTTTTATAAAAAAAAATATGAAATAATTGATTGCATTTTTTAATTGTTTAAAGAATATTTATTATTAAAAACCTTAAACTCGATTATAAGTACAATTTTATAAAAAATGTTACAGTTAGAAATGATTGGTCAAAATCTTCATCGAATTCAAAGTTTGACTTTATGTGGTTTACGTTTAACAATTTAGTACATCTTTACTATTGAATTTTATCTACATTACATACCTAACATTATAATTGCTTTAAATAATAGAAAAACAGTTTTTATTTTTAAATACCCAGTTTGATTCAAAATTTTTTGAAGTTACTAAAATTGTATAGACATCAATAATGCTTTATATACACAGTGTTAAGATAACAATATAAATTAAATATAATTTAAAAAAATGAAAATTTTTAATTTTTAAGTCTTCCTTTACATATGAAATCCATATTTAAATAAATTATTTTTTCTTTTTTTATATATTTTCATTCAACTTGAATCCTTCAATTTTTACAATTTTAAAATAAAAATTTTATTTACAATTATTTCTGATATACTAAAAAATATTTATAAAAGAGAATATATACAAAAGATTAATATAAATAAAATAAACTAATTTTAAGTAAAATTTATAAATATTTGCGTAAATTTAAATCTAATCTAAAATTTAATACAAACTTTATAGCAATAATTATAACACATAATTAAAATAAGAACAGTCAACATGTTTTTAATTTTAAAATAATTCAAAACAAAAATACAGAATTAATTAATTGTATTTAATTTATTGTTGTATTATTTCAACAATAATAAAAATAAAATTTTATTAAATGGAGTTTAATTAATGAAAGGCGTGCACTAAATGTGAATGTTTTATGACATTATATAAAAACAGATAATTATAGATTAAATAAAATGTTTAAATTGTTATTGTTGTCAAAATTCGAGTGAATCTACCAGTATTTTGCTTGGTGGCACACAAGTGTCTACTGGATGTAGATTCGAGTATTCCTGGAGTTTTACGTCAACCATAGAACTGTTTGTGATATAACTGAATTTTTTTTTATAATTCAGTCACAGCTGCTTTGTTCTAAAAATTTTCACTTAGTTCTAATTTAGTCTAAACTAACTCTAAATTTGCTTCAATACAGAAGCTAATTTGAAGCGGTAAAATAAATTAAGTGACTTCAATAAAATAATTTATAAATTTAAGTTTTTTTAAATTTAATTAATTTAAATTGAATTAATTTAAATTTAATTAAATAAATGTTATTTGCAATTCAATTTAATTACTATTATGCGTGTTTCTGAAAATAAACATAAATAAAATTTTAATTTACTATATTCATATGTTCTTCATGAAACAAATAACAATTTATTTAACCCTGTTCTTTTTCGAAATTTCAAGAATATAAAAATTCGATCCTTTGCGTAATGCAACACCACCAATGTATTAAATTACTGTTCCGGGAAAATTCTCGCCCAGCAAAGTCAGAACAGGACATTGTTATGTGGCTTATAACACCATCTTCACCTATAACCTTAATTTTACGTCAAAAATTATGGTAATTATGAGACTGTATTGGTCAGAATCGAGTGTTCATGTCATACCTTATTTTTCAAAAAAGTACAGTTTCAAATCAAATATCACAGAGATTTTATTTAAATTTTTGTTCACAAACAACTTCTGACAGATGACTGGTATATTCGTTGAAATTTCTAATAAAGGTTCACAATGCAATGTTTATCGCTATGGAATTATTTGCTTCTATAGTCTCTTCGATGCTTATACGCTTAATAATTATTTTGTGAGAACAAGAGAGTAGAGTTGTCATTTTTTGTAGAAATTAGAGACTAGCAAGAGACTTGCGGTTTTTTGTTGCACTTTGGAGCGATGGAAGCGAACTTGGATGACAGCTATCTTTGTCTCTTTGTCACTGAGACAGTACTACCAAATCAAAATCTGATTTTTCCAGGTAAAAAGTTAGAAATGAGTGTTGAGATATATTTAATAAACGTAACGTAACCCACATCTCATACTTATCGAGCAGACACACTCTCGTTATGGATACTAAATTATATCAAGATCTCACGTAAACATGAGATTTAGTGAAACGAATTTTTTGTAGAA